GTCCAAAAATTAGGCGACATTTTGGACTACCACAAAATTCGAATTGCTTTAGTGAGTCTTCCTTAACTTTGCAATCGACTTTGACAACTCAAAATTGAATGGATTTGTGCATATAAACCTAATCTGGAAAGCTTAAAATGTCTATTTTAATTTTCAACCAGCCTCTTTAACGTTCGGAGCTCTAAGGATGTCAAATTCTCATTTATTTATTTAAAGGTGAATCGTTAGAATACAAAATTTCGCTCAAGTTAACACACTTTTGCTCCTTTGACTCCACTCTTCTTCTAAATCACAAAATAAACATAATTCAAGTATATATAACCTAAAATCACATCCAAAAAACTAAATATAAGAGAATAAATATCATCAATAATCCTCATTCGCAGTGTTATCCAAGGTGAATACGAGTTCATCCGTTTTGCAAGTTGCTTATGTTAGGTCATTTTTTTTTACTTTATTTATTTGTTTTTTTATGTCGCTATACAAGTTTGCACAAAACACCTTTATTAGCAAGGTCATTAGTGGATGATGATAAATATTTATGCTCAATTTGTCCATAAAAGTTAATTAATAATTTAATTAATTTTATTATATACTAATTTATGTTTTTTTTTTTTACATGAGTCCAAACTATATAAAAAATGAATTAGAGTAAGGATGGATCTCGTCTAACACAATGCTTTAGACCATGCAAGGGTGGATAGAGATATTTTGGCAAGATTAATGTCCATGTATTTTTTTTTTTTTTTTTGGATGCATCGGGGAGATTGACTTGGTGGGATTAGAGCTAGGTCTATTAAAAAAAAAACCTAACTATTACTCCTCTAGCTTTTATTAGAAAATTGAACAGCTTTAATCCAAAAAACCCGATTTCTTCAACTCATATATGACTATCCAAACATAAATGATGTGAAACGATCCTAATAGTCAATGAACATCTTTATTTCAATATAAATACTAACTTCACAATAATTGGGAGGAGATTCTAACTTTTTTATCTTTAACAAAACTTCTAAAGTCTCTTTATTTTCTTTTAAAACTCTCTTGCTCACATTGAATATCATTTAAAGTTCAATATATTTAGACTTTGACCACATGCTTGTTTATCATTTGACTTGCACCTAATTACCACTACTTATCGTTCCTTTCACACTTTTCACTCGCTCGCACAATCTTGCTTACGTTATTTCTACAAGTCATAACACCATTTTTTTGTTCTTTGATTAGTTTGCTAACCTATTTTTGAGTTGTTTTCAAGAACCCTCCTCACATTGTTCAATTTATTGATTTGGGAGCCAAACTATTGTATAGTTCCAATGTGAAAACGAAAAAATTGATAGCATTCAACAATTACCTATCACTCGTGGCTTTCCATCCACTTGAATTGAGCTGCACGAATTAATTAACAATTAAAATAGAAATGAAAGTCATATTAATTTTAATGTGATACATCAATAATTTTCATGGGACTCAATTGAAATAGATGGGATTGGTGTGTTTCGTTATAATGCCTAGCTATACCATTTGAATTCCAATTAACCAGCTTTTTAAAATTCCTCAAATTTTAGAAAATGATCAAAACTATTGCACTACAAACAAACTAAGTCATGCCAATGAGCTATATTTCAAGTGGCATCAGTGTCCCTCCTCCCATCAGATTTCGATTACAAATATCTTCTTAAAAAAAAAAAAACTAAGTCATAAAAGTGATCGTCGTGCTTGCCTAGGAAATTTGAATTTGCAGACTTAGAACCAATATTCAGGAAGAAAAAAAAATTAAATTCCACAGGATGTGGAGCTGTGCTCATAAAATCGGCTAAGAAAAAAATTTAATCTTGATTGATGAAGAAGTTAGTCCGAAAATAACACCTTTTTTATCTTGGAATTAAAAAAAATAAAATCTTAAGGGAAAAGAAAGGAAAAAAAGAAAAAAAGAAAGAAACGCAAAGCCACTTGATTTTTTTTTTTTTTCAAGAGAAAGATGGATTTTCAATTTTTTCACCTCCACGATTAAAGTTACCTTCCCCGCGTAACAGGGGCCTAAAATATTTTGAATTTATATACAATAGAATTTATTAAATTTGCATATTGTTTTACAACCGAGTTTGATATTATAAGTTAATATTTTCACAAACTAACGATGTGTTTTATGAGGAAAAACAATTATTTAAAAATATCTGAGCATGCGTGCCAAAAAAAAAAAAAAACCAAAAAAATGCAACGATAAAATAATTTATTATTATTTAATCCACATATTTTAGCAAAATAACTAGTTTTTCACCTGTGTTATATTGTAGATAAAAAAAAACGTGTAAAATTATTTTAATTTGAAGATTTGCACTATACTATAAATTCACCAAAATATAATAATTATTTTTTATTAAAAAATTGTATATGACTAATTATTCATTATATTTTTTTAAAAAAATTCTACAAACAAAACATGATTTATTTTTATTTATTCGATTTTTAGCTAAAAACTTGTGATAATCTAAAAATAAAATCTAAAACTCGATGGATTTATAACTAAAAATTTATTTTGTAAATTATTTTTTTCAAAAAACTAATACAAATTCTCTAATATATATATATATATATATATATATATATATATATATGCGCTATTATCATTTAAAAATTCTAAGAGTCTATCATATAAATTATATAAATTTATTTTTTAAAAAATAATCATGTTGTAAAATTTTATTTAAAAATCCTTGCATAGAGAACAATAAATCATGTTTATCAATAAATAATATTTAAACAAAATAAAAAGTAATTTGATGGAAATCTTAATAAGAAATGACAAATTGAAGAAATAAATTTTAAACAAGTAATAGTAATAGTAATAGTAATAGTAATATAATCTAAAATATATGTTTATTTTAAAATATAAAAACATATCATATAGATATATTTATTTCATGTAGTAGATATGAATATAGTGATAGATAGATTTATTTTATGTGGTAGATGTAAATATAGTGATAGATAAATTATAAATCAATTCCTTTTATTTGAGAAATGAATTAATTAATCCTTTTGATTTCAAAAAATAATTATTTAATCTTTTCAGCTAGACTAATTTATTTTTTATTTTCAAAAATATCTTTTTTTCTCATTAATCTTTTTCATATTTTTATCTGTTTTTTATTTTTTTATTTCTTAAAACAAAAAGTCAAAAAAATTGAAAAGTAGTAAGAATGACAAAAATTAGTTTTTGAAATCAAATAGACTAATTAATTCATTTCCCTATGAAAGAGGGACTAATTTATAATTCACTCTTGAAGCTCCTCTCCTCTCACGAAAATGAGGGGAAAAAAATGTAATGAGAAGAACATTAAATGCTTCGTCAAGAAAAGAAAAAAAAATGACCAAAAAAGGCTAAAAGAGAAATGAAAAAAGAGAGTAAGTGAAGGACAAATGTGAATTTTCATAAATTTATTAAGTGGCAATGAGGGTGATTAAAAACAAAAAAGAAGGTCATTTACAATATAAAGGAAAAAAGAAAAAGGGAAATAAGCAAAAAAGACTAGGGAAGAAAATTAAAAAGAGAATCAATCAAAGACAAATATAAATTTTTGCTCAGAAGTAATATGAGTAATTTAGGATAAAGAAAAAGCCTTTTATAACGCAAAAGAAAAAAAAACTAAACTCAGTCCACAATAAAATGAGAGTGAATGAACACTCTAACAACAATGAAATACTCATGCCTTTTAAGGTTTTTTGTAATTAGCTGATATATCCTTTTGGTTTAAAGTACTAAACATCGAATCCTTGTATCTTTTTCTTTCATTTGTAACTTGATTCTTCTATTACTCCTTTTTAATAATAATTTAATTATTTTCTTCTAAAATGTTCTTCATTTCTATTTAAATTTTTTAATCACACCTACTGCTAACAAAACCAGAACTATATTTAAAAATGACAGTTTGAATTTTTTTTTAAAAAAAAGTTTGAACAATTTTTTTTTAAATTTAATAGTTAAGTCTATGATTAAGAGACTAACTTATAATTTTTAAAATTAAAAGAATAACTTCAAAAATCATAAAAAAAAAATAAGGAGACTAAATATAATTTACTCATGATAAAATAAGTGAGAAAACGATGGAGAAAAAGAACATAGAATTTGATTTAAAAAATTCACAACACACACAAGAAAGGACAATGCTAAGAGTATTTAAATTTATTTTAATTTTTTTTAACTATAAGGAAATGTTTTCAAATTCATTAAAATATAAATTTTATCACATTTAATGGTGTAATGGTAATTATAAAATATATTAACTAATAAATAACCAATAATGTATTGCCACATTATTTAATAAAAAATTAAGCATCTCTAGTATTATTCCCCAAGAAAATAGAGAAAAAGAAAATAACAAGATACAGATCTAAAACCTCAAAATCAAACCCAACTAAAATGCCAAATCTAAACAAACCCAAAATAATCCATAGATGCTTGGGATTGGATTTCCTTTTCCTTTTTATTCCATTCATTGGAAATAAATATCAACCCAAATCGGCTTAGGTCAAATAACGCCTCGCCGATTCTTTTGTTTTAGTTAGGAATGAAAAAAATAATACCGATAAGAAACACAAGGACGACACGGTCTCCATATATTTCATAAAAACGCGCCACCACGAAGCCGTTTTTGTTTTTGAAACGCGTTCGCGATTTCACAAAAATACAGTCACGCAAGTCTATGGAAGTAACGCCAAATTTTGGGTTTTGCGTGGGAAGTATTTCTCTGCTCCGCACTTAATCAACTGTACGAATTCATCAACAGACAAAATCACCGTTAATTCCACAACTCAATTCCAGCTCCGTTTCGTGCCTTTTTTTTTTTTTTTTTTTTTTAAGTCTATTCAAATTCCCAAATCAAACAGTTTGAATTCTAGGGTTTCCTTCCTTCCCATTTTCAATAATTTAATTTAATTAGCAGATCTGATTATTATATATCGAGAAGTGAGCAATTCGGTTATGAGTTAATAAAAAAATGTCAGAATCAAAGGAGCAAAATGGAGTGACAGCAGCTGAAGAGGAAGAATCAAATAGAGTTGTTGCTGTCGATACCAATCAGGTAATCACTGGTTATCTCAAGCTTCACTTTCTATTTTATTTTTTTCCTTGTTACTGTTATAATAATTGTTAATCGAGGGAGAGAGGGAATGCGTTCAGGAGGAGGAGGAAGGAGAGCTGCATCATGTTGAAAGCAAAGAAGATATGTTCGAAGATGCAACTGATGATATTGAAGAGAACCAGTTTCAAGAAATTGACAATAGTGCCACTCTGCTACAAGATCACGATGTTTCTTCTCCCTCTATTGATGAATTAAGAGCAATCCTTGACAAGACTCTTCAAGACAAACATACCCTTTCTGATGAGTTCAAGGTTTTTTTTTTTATTATTATTATTTAAATTTCTTTACAGTTTAATGATTTGGAAATTATTATTATTATTTAATGCAGGAAGAAAGGGAGAGCATTGGGAGGGAAGTTGCTATGCTACGCCGGGAGCTTAAGGGTTTGGCGGATAAACAGTCTTTGTCTGCTGATGATGGGAATCAGGAAGATATGGCAGTTGATAATGATGCTTCTTTATTGCGTGGGATGCTAAGTGAGTGCTCGCAGTTTGTTAAGGTTGCATTGGATGAGCGCTTACGGACTGACGGGGTGATAAGAGAGCTAAATCAGCAGATTGAGGATCTTACAGTGAAGGCTCGGGTGGAAGAGAGTGTTGAGGTTGTTGCAGACAGGATGTTGGCTTCACTTGGTGTGGTGGTTTATCCTGGGGAGTTGTTGGATCATTCTGTTATGGGAAAACTGACTCATGTTGAGCGAAGTGGTTCTTTGTTAGTTGAGCATTATAGCTGGATGCTTTATGAAATTGATCAACTTAGGGTGTGTTTAACTGAGGGAGGGTTTAGTTTTGAGGGGCAAGTGGAGTTTGGGCCTGCATCGATTTTTGCTGCTGCTCGTGGTGAGTTGGTGGAGCTCAAGAGAAAGGAATCGGAGATGGTCGAAAAACTAGGCCATCTAGAGGATGAAAGTAGGAAATTGGTTGAACAGGTTGAGAAGGAAAAATTGATGGCAGAGGAAGCAAATGCAGAACTTGGTAGAGTGAAGGTAGAACTTGAGCAGGAAAAGAATAGGTTTGCAAATACAAAGGAAAAGCTTAGCATGGCCGTGACCAAGGGGAAAGCATTGGTTCAGCAACGGGATTCACTAAAGCATGCTCTTGCTGAGAAAACAAGCGAGCTTGAGAAATGTTTGGCTGAATTGCAAGAGAAATCAAGTGCTATTGAGGCTGCTGAACTATGCAAGGGCGAGTTGGTCAAATGTGAGGACTTGGTTTCATCATTGCAGGAAACGCTTGCACAAAGAAATGCAGTTTTTGAAAGCTTGGAAGAAATTTTTTCTCAGAGTGATGTACATGAGGGACTTCAATCAATGGATGTTATAGAGAGATCGAAATGGCTAGTGAATGAGGTTGCATCACTCCAGGAAAAGCTTTTGGAAAATAATGCAACTTTTAAAAATTTTGAAGAAATTCTTTCTCACACTGATGTTCCCAAGGAAGAAACAGATCTTATTGCGAGGTTGAGATGGCTTGTGAATTTGGCTTCGTCACTTGAGGAAACACTTTCACAGAGGAATAAAATTATCAAGAACCTCGAAGAAAGTTTTTTCCACTTCAATGTGCCTGTGGAACTTCATTCAGTGGATATTGTTGAAAAGTTGAATTGGATTGTTGAGGAGAGAAATGCACTCAAGGATAACTTGCTGGAATTCCACAAATTGAAAGATGCCTTATCTTTAATCGACCTACCTGAAACTGCTTCATCATCTGACTTGAAAACTCGAATAGGTTGGCTTAAGGAATCAGTTAACCAAGCAAAAGGTGAAATGAATGAGATGCGGGAAAAACTTGCTAGAACGAAGATATCTGCGCAAAATGAGATTGACCGGTTAAGTGTTTTGCTTTCAGCAGAAATACAAGAAAAGGAATATATTGAAATGGAGTTGAATGTCCAAGCACGCAACTATGAAGATGCCCATCAAGCCTCATCCGAAAAGCATCAGATGGTGCAGATGTTGTTAGAGCGTTCTGGAATAACAACAGACAGTCTTGAAGCCTATCAGAATTGTTCAGATCTGTCCATGCTTGTTGATATATGCTTTGGGAAGATGAAAGAAGAAAGCAGTACTTCTTCTGATATTTCTGCTGTTGGTGAAGTGTTTGAAAGAATGCAGAGTCTCTTGTATGTCAGGGATCAGGAGTTGATGCTTTGCGAGAAACTTCTTGAAGAAGACATGCTGGTGAGATCAGAGGTGATTAATCTGTCCAGTGAGCTGAAAATGGCTTCTCTAGGACTTGCTACATTGAAGGAGGAAAAGGACACTCTGCAGAAAGATCTTGAGCGTATGGAGGAGAAATCTGCTTTACTGAGGGAGAAGTTGTCCTTAGCGGTTAAGAAAGGCAAGGGATTGTTTCAAGATAGAGAAAACTTGAAACTTCTGCTGGAAGAGAAGAAATCAGAAATTGAGAATTTGAAACTCGAGTTACAGAAGCAAGAATCTATGGTTACTGACTGCAGGGATGAGATAAATAGATTTTCTGCTGATTTAGAGCAAATCCCAAAGTTGGAGGCTGATCTAGTTGCTGCAAAAGATCAACATGATCAACTTGAGCAGTTCTTATTGGAGAGCAATAACATGTTACAGAGAGTTATCGATTCCATTGACAGTGTTGTCCTTCCTGTTGAATTAGCTTTTGAAGAGCCTGTACAAAAGGTGAACTGGCTTGCAGGGTACTTGAATGAATGCCAGCAGGCTAAAATTCATACAGAGCAAGAGTTGGAAAAAGTTAAGGAAGAAAATAATACTCTGGCTAGTGAGTTAGCAGAGGCGCGACAATCTATGAAATCACTTGAAGGTGCATTGTCAGTTGCAGAGAATAACATTTCTCAGCTATCTGAAGAAAAAGGGGAAATGGAAGTTGCAAAAAGAGCTGTTGGACTGGACCTACAAAAAGCGATAGATGAAACAACTGCTCAAATTAGCAAGTTTACCAAGGCTTGTGCGACTATAAAATCACTTGAAGATTCATTGTCACAAGCAGAAAATAATATTTCTATGATCACTAAAGAGAGGGAGGAGGCCCAACTGAGCAGAGTTTCTACGGAGGCTGAACTGGAGAAACTAAGAGAAGAGTTTACTATTCAAACTAGCAAACTTATGGAGGCATTGAGAACTATAAAGTCTCTTGAAGATGCACTGTCTCAGAAAGAGACCGATGTTTCTTCGCTGACTGAACAAAACAATCATTTCCAGGATGACAGAACCAATTTGGAGAATGAGCTAAAGAAGCTGACGGAAGAAGCTGAATCCCAGACTGGCAAACTGACAGATGCCTTTTCAACTATAAAATCACTGGAGGGTGCATTCTCAAAGGCGTCAAATGATATCTCTGTGCTGGAAGATGAAAAGAGTATAGCTGAGCAGAAGATTTCTATGCTTAATTCTAAGTTGAACACATGCATGGACGAATTAGCTGGAACCAGTGGCAGCTTAGAAAGCAGGTCTATGGAGCTCATGCATCACCTTGGTGATCTTCAAATTGTTATGAAAAATGAGAGTCTGTTGTCCATGGTCAGACAACATTTTGAGAAGCAGTTTGAGAGCTTGAAAAATATTGATCTCATTCTCAAGGACTTAAGGATCCACTTTGTTGACACAGATCTGGAAGCACTGAAAAGTTACTATATAATGGAGGTAATAATTTTCTTTTCTTTCCTTTTTTTTTTTTTTTTTTTTTTTGGTTTTGCTGAAGGATTTTTGGCTAGATTCTGATCAATGCTTGTCAATTGAATTCTTTTCCAGGAAGATTCATGTGCGACAAAACCTTTTCCTTATGACCTTGGCAATAGTGTGAACAGTGGAATTGATAATGGTCCGGTGAATGCATTGGATGTTGATAACATTTCCATGTATTTGAAGAAGACTGTTGAAGAATTTCAGTTGAGAAACAAAAATCTTGCAGAAAATTTTGAAGGTTTCTCAATTTTCACAGATGAATTTATTGAAGCACTATTGAGAAAATTAAGGGCAAGCAAAAATGCTGTAAGTTTTGTTTTTGATTACATGGGGAATTTGAAAGAAAAAATGAAGAATATGGAACTGCTTAAAGAGGAGCATGAGAAAACCATAGCCAAATTAGAACAAGATCATACAATTTTGCTATCTGCTTGTACCAATGCCACTAGAGAACTGCAGTTTGAAGTTAAGAACAAGCTACTGGAACTGAGCTCTATTCCTGAGCTTGAAAAGTTGAACTGTAATTCCATTCAAGAAGCGAGTGAAATTGGTGCTGACAACACAGCGCATCTGCAAAGACTTGATCAAAGAGAATATGCCATGATAGCGGAAAAGTTGTCATTAGCTGCAACCAGAGCTCAAACTCTGGCTAAACTGTTTGAGAGTACAAGTAATGTGGCGGCCGCAACAATAGAAGACTTGCAGAACAAATTGGAGGAAAGCACAGTAGCTTCAGAAAAAGCCACAGAAAATAGCGTTATAGTCCAAAATAGGGTTTTGGATTTGGAGACTGATGTCGAAGCATTACAAAATTCATGCAAAGAGTTGAAACTCAAAATAGCAGATTACCGAGCTGTAGAGGAAAAGTTGAGTGGACAGGAAGCAGAACTGTCAGGTTTACAAGGTAATCTGTTGTTGAAAGATCGAGGTGAATATTTCTGTTTATGTTGTTAAATCTATTTAGTTGTTTTGCTCCCTACTAACTTATTTGGGAATGTTTTGTTCCAGAGGCTGGAGAATCTCTCATGTCTGCATCGCAATTGAAAACCCTTTTTGAGAAGATAAGTAGGATTGAAATTCCTTTTGCTGATTCAGAAGTAGGAGGTTTGGAACCCCATAGTTCAGCTGATGTAAAGAAATTGTTTTACATTGTTGAAAGAATATGTGAGTTGCATGATCAATTAAATGCATTATCTCATGACAAAGAAGAGCTACAATCGACCCTGTCAACAAGGATTCTTGAAATCGAGCGTCTGAAAGAGGAAACTGAAGAACACTTCAGAAATAGGCAAGATTACGAAAAGATGAAGGACGAAATGTCTGAGCTATTGCTCGGTCTAGAGAAGCTTATTGATATATTGGGAGATCATGGATTTGTTGGGGAAAAAAATCCTCTGGTGGGCAGAGATTGCTGCCAGCATTGGAGAAATGGATTATGGCCCTGCTTCTGGAAGTTGATAATTCAAAATCCCATGCTCAGGAACTTGGTACGGAGTTACTTGGGAGTCAGAAAGTTATAGATGAATTGTCATCCAAGATTAAAGTACTTGAAGATTCATTCCAAAGTAGAACTGCTCAGCCAGAGATTGTTCAGGAAAGGAGCATCTTTGAAGCACCCTCATTGCCTACTGGCTCAGAGATATCTGAAATCGAAGATACGGTAAATATTCTTATGTCATGTTTTCCATGACTTCTTCCTTCCTTCCTTCCTTAATATGCCATTATGACAAAGCTGCTGAATAAATGTTTTGTTTGCCATTACCTAATTAGACAAATTTAATTTTATGGGCCTCCCTGTGGACTTCATATCAGAAATTGCTAACAGGTGTAGGCTTCTACATTCTTGTTTTAGTTAAGGCATTGGCGATGAACATTTGGTACACTACTACACCATGAATATACCTTTTGCCTTCACAACACTATGCCTGCTGACTGGCAGTGAAACATTTGGAGTGCCTTTGCCTTACCTGGAAGATAATATTATACTAGAGAAGTCCCAAAATAAATGGAGACCTTCCCATGCATGCCTGCTTTTGGTCTCCTATACGCTGTGCTTTTCCCCTCTTCTTTTCCTTCTGTTCAGTTTTATGGTCTTTTGGAAATCTTTTTACTTTCCTGACACCAGCAAGAAATTAGGAATCTTGTGTTAGTTGTAGAGATTTTATTACCCCATATATCAATAAGTTAGTGATAGCCTGTATGATCTAAGTGCAATGTATCATCCCATCTTTCCAGATGGGTGTTCTTAATGTGACATGTCGACATGGTTCTATCCAACAACTTTTTTATTTTTATTTTTTCAATTATTTTGTAGCTTTTAACAGATTCCATGGACAAGTGCGACATGCTTGTTTGTTTTGCATTTCAATTTCTTAACATGCCGTCCCTTGTGGGCACCACAAGAACTTCTAAGATTTGCTGGCAGAGTTGGCTGAAAAAATCATTTCAACTGCATGATACTCTATTGCAATTGAAATGCATGACAATTTCATATGTGTACACAAGATCTACTTCTCTTGTGCAAATTGAATCTCTCTATCTAGGCCAATGTTAAGTGCATGCAAAGCAATTAGGCAGGAAGAGTAATTATGTTGCACCATAAGTTGCTTGCTGATCCTATTAAATAAGATTAGCCCTGCTGTTTCTAAATTATGCTTTGGGAGATTCATAATGCTTCATCAACTTTTTCAGAAGCTGCCTCTATTGAACCTTTCTTTATTTTCCTGATGCTTTTTCAGGGATCAGTTGGAAAGAATGGAACATCTTCTGTTGCCTCAGCTACTGCCTCAGCTGCTCATGTGCGAACTATGCGAAAAGGATCAACCGACCATCTTGCGCTCAATGTTGATCTGGAATCTGGTAGTCTGATCAACAACGAGGAAACTGATGAGGACAAAGGTTTGCATTCTGCAGTTTCCTTTTTCTGAACAGAAGTTTCTGAGATTGGAAATTTTATTTATATCTTTTTTTTGCCAGGTCACGTCTTCAAGTCCCTTCACACATCAGGTCTTATTCCAAAACAAGGAAAGTCAGTTGCAGAACGAATTGATGGGATATGGTAAAGTGCTAAATCCACAAAAAATCATAATTAGGGAATAAGGGAAAAAAGGAGGAAAACTCAAATTTTTGTTATAATTTTTCCTTTTCACTTTCTATGTGATCCAGATAGTAAATGCCTTATAAGTTGGTGAGGGTATGGGGATAGGTATTTAATCAGAGTCTGGTGAGGATTCAATTCAGTGCACCAACTTGAACCAAGTTGCTTTTGACCTATGCAGGGTATCTGGCGGCCGATTGCTAATGAGTCGTCCCAGAGCAAGGCTAGGCCTTATTGCCTACTGGTTTTTCTTGCATGTATGGCTTTTGGCAACCATTTTGTAACAAAGTCTGTGATCATCTCCTGTGTGGACCACACTTACAGCATTAAGTGTCAGCAGATGGAACTTGTATCATAGTTATTCTGCCCATATTTTTCTTAATTGTTCATGTTGAAATTCTTTGTCATCATTGGTCCTCTGCCATCATATTTTAGGGTGCAGAGAATCCAAGCTTCTGTTCGTGGAAAATTATCCACGTCTTTTTATACCTGTTTGTAGTCTTTTGTTGGAAACATATGGATATAGCTTTGTGAGTCAGAGGAATGTGAAAATGTGAGGTGGTAACCTTACCTTCTCTCGCGCTCTGTTTGCTTGTGTCATTTTTGTTCGTCGACATCTCTAGATTTTTTAGTCAAAAGGTAATTTTTGGGCTGATCCCAGATCAAACAAGACTGGTAAATTAATCTTAACCCAATCATCGGGAACAAGAAGTACCATTTTTAGGACATGATAGAGCAATGTAATACCACTCTTATAAAGCGACCCAGAGGACCGCGAAATGATGGGTGTATATTCTTAACCATCCACGTGGCGGAAGGCCAAAAATTAGAGGGAAAAATAAAAAAAAGGAACGGATAACGGGAAGACAGGTCAGGAGCTGATTTTACAACGCTGTTATGGTTTGATTTTCTAGGTTTCTTCTAACTCTCTACTGGGTCATGAAAATTGAAGTTGGAGGCCATCAACTGTTATGACTTTGCTTACTAATGCCTCAGCTACTATTTTTTCTGTAATCAACCACATATCATGGGCAAATTCTACCTTCATGGGTTAGTATTTCTTCTCCATCTTTCTTTCTTGGATTCTATAATTTTCACTTAATAAGATAGTTACTGAGATCTTTCAAACATAACTGTAACTAGGTGGGAAGTTTAGTGGCCTCTATCTAAATGATTCTTGCCAGTGCTTGCAGTTACCTGCCAAATCACCTAGGGTAAGATAATAACTTTTCATCTTTCTTTTTAGTAAAATTAGGAAGGATTATATGTGTCATCTTTTCTTTTTTTTGAGTCTGAAAATAATCTACTTCTCTATTTTGCAGGGCTACAAATTTGGCACGAGGACTTTTGCCAGACGGAAATCAGTGAAGAAATGGACAAGGGATGGACAGTCCCAAAATGGTATAGCTCTGCAAAGTACCGAGAAGAGTTTAGAAGAAGAGAGAAAGGTCTTATCAGACAAGTCTCCTTTAGAGGATAATTCTGTTGAGTCAGTGCAGAATACAGTCAGCAATACCGCTTCAAGAAGTGATGTGCTTCAGGCATGCACTGTCACTTCTGGGTTGATAGCTGCTTTGGGTATATTAATTCGACAGGCAAGGCTTTACTTTACTTTCATGCATAACTTGCTCAGGAACATTTGGATGCAATCTTTTCAGAGTTATTTTCTCTTTTGTTGGTCTTGTCTCATAGAAAATGATGGATCAATTTTCCCTTCTTTCCTTGTTTGCGATAGATACACAATGCAATGGGTTTCTGATTATGTGTTTAAAGTTCTAGAGCTTAGATTGATATGATTAACATCCATATGTACCCTTTTTATTGCTTGACATCATGAATAATCGGCACATTTAAATGGGGATCCTTAATTGTAATTTCCAGGTATCTCATGTCGCCTCGGTGGAAGGACTACCAATACTCGACTGCTCCACAGAAGTCTCATGTATAAATTTTCATGTTTGCTTTTTTGATCTTCCAGTTGATTGTTCATAAATTTGTTTTCATTATTTCAACCTTGTTTCTTGTGCAAATAGAAATAAAGTGTGCATTTAGTGTTTGGCTGGATAGTAGAAATATAGTAAAATAAAATGTTTAATTATCATCCACATTTGTTGGATGCCACGGTTGAATTTTGTGATTAAATCGAGGACTTCTCAGGCATGGGAACGCTCTGCACGTAGATTTACGTTAAAACGATTGAATGATCCCACATATTCCTGGTACATGGACCATTAACCAGGAAACAATCCTGTTGCCTCATGGTCATGGACCAAGATCTCTTTGTATCTCTGTGGGACAGTGGACCTCAATGTTAATAGTGCTCTCTTTTTTATTGGTCTCGGTGTACATGGTTGTGCTAGATGTCTGAGTCACATTTCTATCCACTATAGGTGCTAGCAAAGCAACCCCAGTAACGAGTTATTAATAGAAGAAGATGAATACAACTCACTATAGTTCGGTTAAAGCTTCTTTGTGTGGTGCGAAGTTTTTGAAGAGATGGAAGATTCTTGCCCAAAATTAAATGTTGCTCGTGGCCATGTCAAGGAAAACATATGTCATTGTAATTTTGTCTCCTACAGAACTTATGATCAATCTTTGCTGATGCTAGTGTTTTGTTTTTTAATAATACCGTGAACTCATAATCCAAAATAAATTCCTTGTGAATCTGGTAAATGTCCCAATCAAAAGACATGCCAAAATGGCTACTAGTTGATAGTGGAGAATTTCAATTGGATGTGCTATCATCTTCCAGATGTCTTTAGCTTCGTTCCCTTCCTGCTGTTATTCTGTTGACCAAATACAAAGTTATATGTTTGCATGTATGCTATTTGTTAAGTAATTCAAAAAGTTTCACTTCTTCACTGTTTCTTTACAGTTGGTACTGAGATGTGGCATCTTGAGTTGATTACAGGATTGGTCATACTGATTTCATCATGCAGATACTTGCTACTGAAGACATGGCCAGATTTTTCTGAATCTACAGAAGCAGCAAATCAGCAGGCACTCTTCTCAATTTTCTTATTCAATGTCTTACCTTTATGTCTCGAATCATTTATATTCTCTATCTTTATGTACCAAAAGTCATCTAATTAGATTTATATGAGGAATGATTGGAAATTTGTATACATAATTTCTTCCCTTCAATTATCTAACATACTAAGATATTTTACTGATTTTTATTCAGCTGCTGAGTTAGACCTTCCAACTACCACCAAATGTTGGCAATTTTTGTCGCTGAAATCCCTTGTTAGTCTTTACTACTCTATTTTCTATACAGGTCCTTACATCACTTCAACCTTTGGATTATGTTGTTGTTTCATTCTTGCCTGGGGTTAGTGAGGTAAGTGAAGGTATACTTTTAAGTCTCTAAAACATGTGTGTGCGGGCAAATACTGATAATATGCGAATTCATGGATTGCCTAGGAACTTCTTTTCCGAGGTGCACTGCTGCCCCTTTTTGGGATGGATTGGAAGAGTGTCCTTCTAGCTGCCACCATATTTGGTGTTCTACACTTGGGAAATGGTCGAAAGTACTCCTTTGCTGTCTGGTATTCACCTCAACAGTTTATTAACTGGAATTTCTTGTTAGTGAGTTAATATAAAATCATTGTTGAAGCCTCATCAGTGGTTATACATGTCTATCTTGTACGCTTTATATTTATTATGCCGTTTGACCTTCTCGAGATCCTCTCCACTTCATTTTATTTCTAAATGGAAGTTCATAATGTCCATCTCTGTTGCAGACCAAAACCGAATCATTTTTACTTTTTATGCTCCAATATTTCATTATATAATATGTCAAATTTTAAATGTCTACGAATTGATGCTGTATATGAAGAATATTCATGAACTTTTGCTCTCTATATCAGTATTTTTTTAGTTAATTTACCGGTGGTATTATATATCCGAACTCCAGTTACCTTCCCGTAAAATCTTTGTAATCTTATTGTTTAACTTGTTTCAGGGCAACCTTTGTTGGATTTGTATATGGCTATGCTACCGTTTTATCTTCAAGCTTGGTCGTACCAATGGCTTCTCATGCACTGAACAATCTAGCCGGTGGGCTCTTGTGGAGACACACATCAAAGTCAGCAAAATAGAAATCAGATTATGATTTACCTGACATACAGCATGAACACTATCTAATTTGACTAGTGAAAATCATGACTGCAAAGGGACGTACACGCGTAATATGGTTTCAGTAGATGCTGTATAATTCTGTTGCCAAATATCTAAATGTGCAGCCATATTTAACGTGTATTGAGTTGTAAAGTGTGAAAAAATGTCTCATATCTTTTCAATGTGAATATTACCTCTCTGAAGATGGGACAGTGATCCTGCTTTTAGGTTTGACCACCATTCTGTGTCTCAAGTCTATTGCAATAAACTTAACCTTTTGACAACTAAAGGCCTGCCTTTGGAACCATTTCATTGAAAAAAAAATGAATTATTTTTAAAATGATAACAAATTATCAAGTTTAGTTTTGATTAAAATTTGTTTACTAGATTTATACACAAAAAAAAAAAAAAAAAAAAGAGGTTTGGATAGAAATCAAGATGGAATAACAAATAAATTATTTCATCTTTTAAATATGTTAAACAGCTGTATTAAAAAAGGTTAATTTCTATTTTCTATGGCGTAAATGACTGGACATTATTAACTTACTTTCTAGATTAAAAAAATTCACTTTTTTTTTTTTTTAATTTCTAGATACACTAAATCAAACTTTTAAAGAGTAAATTATAAATTAGTCCCTCTTGTTTAGAGAAATGATTTAATTAGTCTTTCTAGTTTTAAAAGATAAATATTTAGTTTTTTTTTAACCAATATTGACCATGACTAATTTAATATTTTTTTTATTTTATAATATGTTTTTTTTTCTCATCAATCTTTTCATATTTTTACTTATTTTTTATTTTTTCTATTTCTTAAAATAAATAAATAAATAAAAATGATCAAATAATTAGTTTTTAAAATCAAAAAGTAAGTCATTCATTTCTCAAAACAAGCAGGACTAATTTATAATTTATTTCACTTTTAAGAGGGTAAAATCATGTGTCCCTATATCATATTGGATAACGGATTCAATTCCTTGCATTTAATAAGAATTGACTTTGTTTACATTTAAATTAATTCTTCAAATTTGTTGTGGTGGTTAGATTAATTTTATGTCGCGTATTAAGTAGAGAAAAAAACACATCAATATCAAGAAATTCTTAGGAGAGTTCGATTTTAGGTGAGTTATTATTAAAGATATAATTGACATTAAGAAACAGTTTAATACTATAATTGTTGTGCTATCTATTAAGTAAAAAAGTTTTAATTAATGTTTGTTAACCGATGTTATTAAACACTTGTTAGCAAAATTCTATTTATTTTTCATTTCTCAAGAGATAATTTTCTAGAAAGCACAAACATATATCTTCCAAATTTAAACACATCCAAAATTTTTAAAAATATGCAAAAAAAAGTATATAAATAATTAAATAAGTGTTATGAAATAATGAATGCTCGTAACCATTCATATTTCCACTCGCTAACTATATTATTTAATGATATTCAATTCATCATTATCATGTATGATGACACAAGAATTGAAATTGGAGCAAGCTTTTATGAACTTTTTCAATTCTCTTCCTAATCCTAAAACCTATAAATAAGATTGATTGCTTATTAGTTGAGTGATATGTTTTGTAGGCATTGAGAGAATTGTTTAGACTTCTTATCACTTGTATTCACTTTATTTTATATTGAAATCTTTTTTTTTTTCATTTTTCTTTCAATTCTATTATTTTTACTATTTTTTTTTATAACACGTTATTAGTACGAAGCTCTAACCAACTCGATATAATAGATCATGAGGTATGCATCTGTCGAAAGACTCAATCATTTGATTGTTTTTATACACGATTGCTTTATCAAAATATCTAAATTATCCAGATTATTAAGACGGATATATCTAATTTATTCTTTACTTTAAATTTAATAATATGTAAAATATATATTTGAAAAACTTGAATGATTTAATACATAGAATTTAATGATCTAATATATGTTGTTTGAAAAGTTCAAATTTTATTATTATGTTTGTTTTTATTTAAATTTTATTATTATATTTGTTCTCATTTCCTAACATTATTATTATATCTTGCATCATAGAACATTGATCATATCAAACCTCCAAAAACTTGATTTTGTAGCCTTTGACATTTTGATCAAGAATCATTAATCATTGGTGTTTGATGCTTAGAAAACATTTTATGTTTTTCATGCCTCAAATATGCTCCGGCAATAGCAATAATATCGAAAAAAAATGTTTTAAGAAATATTTTGAATTGTTTTCATGCTTGCTTGTGGCTAAGAAAAATAACGAGTCATTGATGAAAAATCATAACTCTCATCCAATTGGGTCTATTCCATTTTCTAAAATAAATGTAATAATTTATAATAATTTTGAACATGGACTGAGATATGAACATAACTACAATTGTGTCGGAATAATTATCGTTATAATCATGATGATCATAATAATACACCTCACCACCGAAGTTGATAGATTGTATAATAAAAATAGATCAAGTCAACATTTGGAAAATAAGTATTATAAATGTGGCATGAAAGGACATTGGTCGCATATATGTTGTATATCAAAACACCTTGTTAAGCCTTATGAAGCCTCGTTGAAAAAGTGAGAGTAAAATATAAAAGTTAATTTTATATATAAAAATGATGGTAATTGAAATTAATAATTTATTAGTTTTTCTATTTAAAAATAACATGTTTTATTTTATTTTATTTTATTTTATAATTTCTATTGCATAGTAATAATTAGAAACTTATTTTACGATTTATTTATTTATTTTTATGAAGAATATATTTATTTGTTTTGCGTTTATTTAATTATTTATTTTGAATTAATATTATATCTAATAGTATTAATTTAATAGAAAGCTCTAGAAGAGCGACTATATTATCCGAAGAGATCAATTTTGAAGGTTCTAGAAGAGCAAATATATTATTACCTAAAAAAAAATTTTTTGAAGGCTCTAGAATAACTAATATGTTATTACTTGAAGATGTAAATTTTTAAAAGCTTTAGAAGAGGGAATATATTATTACTTGAAAGAACATAATTTGAAGACTCTAGAAGGATAAATATATCATTACCTAAAATGACAAATTTTATTATAAATAATGCACTATTCTCTTTAAAGTCTCACATAAATTTGTTGAGTTTCAAAGATATTCGTTTAAATGGTTATCATATCAAGACAAAAAATATAGAAAATATTAAATACTTATATATTATAATCATTATATCGGATAGAAAATATGTTTTGGAGAAATTACTCACTTTCTTTTCTAATCTTTATTACAAACATTTGAATGGTTGAAACAAACGCTATAGTAAATTAGAAATTTATTAATTCAAATAATTTTATTAAGTGGCATTACTTGGTTGAGTTATCTTGAGTTTTTCATGATGCAAAAAAATATTGAAAATTTATATAGGTATCTATTGAAGAGGTAGAAGATTCTTCAACCTAATAAATTTTTATGTTCTCGCATGTTTTCAAGACAAATTAATTATTAAGCCATCAATAAATAAAATTAAGATTAAACCTCTAGTATTTTAGAAATGTATTCAAATGTAAAATATGTAGACCAATTCATCCATCACGTAAACTATTTAGATTTTTTTTGGTTTTAACGGATACATCCATAAGATGGTCACATGTATAATTATTATCTACTTAAAATCTAGTATTTTCAAGATTACTAGATCAAATAATTCAATTGCAAGCATAATTTTTAGATCATGCCGTTAAAGCAATTCAGTTTGATAATGCTTGGTGAGTACATCTCTCAAGCATTAAATGATTATTAATTGGCCGAGTAGAATAAAGGATGAACAACATGTTGCTCATGTTCATATTCGAAATGTTTAGTAAAATCATTTATCAAAAGGCTCTAATTGATAGCTAATAATTGCTTATGAAAAAAAATTATTTGTTTATATTTGAGGACATATAATCTTACATGCATAAATATTTATTCGTATCTATCCATAAGTTATCAAAAATTATCTTTCATATAATTAGTTTTTTGTCATGAACCAAATATTTTTCATTTAAGATTTTTTGACTATGCAATATATATCTTTAGTGCTCATCTACAACAAACTAAAATGGGCTCTTAAAAGAGATTGAGAATAAATATTGAATTTGAATCCTCTTCTATAATTAAATATCTTGAACCGTGATCATGAGATATTTTTATAACTCAATTTGCCAATTGTCATTTCGATGAAACAAAATTTTCAACATTAGAGAGAGAATAAGCAAAATAAGTAGTTGAAAATGTTGAAAAAAGATATTATATGAAGTACTTCATCTTTACATCATTTTAATCTTCGTACAAAAATAATATAAACTAGAAGTTCAAAAGATAATTTATTTACAAAATCTTACAAACCACTTGGTAGTTGCATTCTCATATATAACAAAAAGAAAGAGTATCTAAAATGCATTTCTTTTATTAGAATTGATGCTCTAGAAAGATAATATATTAATGTTATAGCAAATGAATCTAAAGTACATTTGAAGCGTGGACGATCGATCGGTTTTAAAAATAAAAATCTCAAATGAAAAAAGCAAATCATCAAGATGAAAATATAAGGATGTAAGTATTCACAAAATGATCTAAGATATTTCGATAATAGACTTCTAGTAGATGTCCAAATGTTTGAGGACAATCAAGAGATTTTGATAAATTATGTCAATATAGGAAGAAAATGAGACCAAAAAGAATATTTATTGATAATATTTTTGCATATAATGTTACAATTTATATTTTAAATAAAAATAAAGATCCCGAGCCTAAATCTATTGAAAAATATCGATATAAAGATGATTGACCTAAATGAAAAGAGCAATCTAGACGAATTATATTCTCTTACAAAACGAATAGTTTTTAAATCTATAGTTAAAACACTTGAAAATGCTAAGTCAATGAGATACAAATGGATATTTATATAAAACCAAAATAAGAAAGATGAGATTTTGAGATACAAAGTAAGACTTGTCACACAAGAATTTTTACAAAGACTCGACATTGACTATGAGGAGATATATTCTCCTGTAATGGATGCAACTACATTTCGTTATCTCATTAGTCCGAAAAAATATATAAAAAACTTTATATGCATGCATTTAATGAATGTGATCACGGTTTATTTGTTCACTTAAAACGATATCTACATGAAAGTTCTAGAAGAACTTAAGATGCGTAAAGCATGTAATACTACACATTCTCGGGAAATGAATTCAATTAAATTATAAAAATTATTTTAGTATTTATTTCATTTTTTTAGTTTTTAAAAATTCAATTTATGCTATATATATATATATATATATATATATATATATATATATATATATTTTTATTTATTTATTTATTTTAATATCTACTCTTTATTTTTAACATGCGACACGTGGTATAATCGTCTCAATTAATATTTATTTAAAGAAGGTTATAAAAATAATCTTATTTATTCATGAGTTTTTATATAGAAATCTATAAAGAGATTTATGATAATTATTGTATATGTTAATGATTTAAATATTATTGAAACTCTTAAAAATATTCCAAGTGTCATAAGTTATCTAAAAAGAGAATTTGATATGAAAGGTCTTAGGAAAACAAAATTTGTCTCGACCTACGACATGAGCACTTAAAAGATAGATTTTTATTCATTAATCAACTTATATAGAAAAAGTTTTATAATGCTTTTATGGATAAAGCTCATTTATTGACTAGTCCAATGATAATTCGTTCATTTTATATCCAAAAGGACTTTTTGAGAAAATAATGAGTAACTACTTGGTCTTAAAGTATAATATTTTAGTGTAATTTGTGCATTGATATTTCTTGTTAATAATACTTGATCCGATATAGTGTTTTTTGTAAATTTATTAGTGAAATATAATTGTGCTCTAATACAAAATCATTGGAATGGAATGAAATATTTCCTATGTTATCTCCAAAAAAAATTAATATGATATTTATTTTACTCAAATAAATCAAATTCAAGTTTAATTGGCTATGCAAATATATGTTATTTATCTAATACATACAAAACTTGATCACAAATTGATTATGAATTTACACATGGTGATACGGTTATGTCATGACATTCTATAAAGTAAGTAACTATAGCTGCTACATCTCAAATTATGCAAAAATACTAGCAATTTATAAGATAAGTCAAGAATGTATTTGACTAAGATCAATGATTTATTATATTTGAGAGATATGCGGTTTAACCACTAATAAAGAAAGCTACAATAATATTATATAAAGATAATATTGTTTGCGTTACTTAATCAAAGGAAAGATATATTAAAGTGACAATTCGACACATTTGTTCACTAAGGTATTACTTACTATAACTTTTGAGAAAATGATTCATAAGATTGGAATGCATCATTTTAAAAATCTTAAATAAAGCTTTCAACAAAGAGAGTCCGATACGAGAATTAATATGTATAAAAAAATATTATACTATTTTTCTTTCATTATAATTTTTTTTATTGAGTGTTTTTAATAAAATTTTAATGAGGCATGTTCTTTGTACGATGGATATTCAAGAAGGAATGTTATAAAATAATGAATGCCAATGACCATTTTTATTCCCTCCACTAATCATATTATTTAATAGGATTCAATTTACCACTATCATGTATGATGACATAAGAATTGAAATGTTGGTGCAACCTTACATAAACTTTTTTTAAACCTTATTTAATTCTTTTCTCAATTCTAAAACCTATAAATATTATTGATTGTTCATTAGTTAAGTAATAAGTTTTGTAGAGAATTGTTTGGAGTTTTATCCCTTATATTCACTTTATTTTATAATTAAATCATTTTTTTATTATTTTTTATGCAATTTTATTATTATTACTATTTCTTTTATTAGAATAAGTAATTAATTTAAGAGACTTTTTGTCGTATAATTAATAATTTGAGGTATTTGTCAAATTAAGACAGCGGCCGAGGTCAGCGAGTCAAAAACACGACAAGCATGTAAAGGGGAAGGAACTCTATATAGTTGTAGATATATTTTTAGTCGTAAAATCTAATCTTACACTGAAAAACCAAATGCAACTACTACTACAATCTAATAATTAGATGCGTAGCTGTGCTGTGCGAGGAGGTTGCCCCTCCGATTACGTAGCTATTTCCATTGCCATCCTCTCCTTCATCTTGTTAGTACTCCTGCACACCTTCTTTCTTTATATTCTCTTTGGTTATTTATTTATTTATTTATTTTTGTGTTTAACAATTTATTCTTACCTGTTTGATGCTTCGCCTCAATGACATAAGGTTTGATTAGAGATAGGATGCCAGGATTTTACCCTTTCTCCCTAGTTGCCACTTTGAATTAATTCGAGATTACAAAATACATATAGAGTATTACTGATTTGGTGAAAGGTGAAATAGACAATTAATGAGTGAGTAATGAGTACTTTATCACTATCAGGATGATTGCTACCTGGGTTATTAGAGATAGGATTAACCGTGCCAGCTTAACGTCAAGAATGTTTTGGGTCATGATGATAATGGTTTTGTTCACTTTTACTGAGTTGTGTTTCTTGTTTTGTTTTTGTTTTTTTTTTTTCATATTTTTTTCAGGCTTCTCTCAAGGTTACTTTTTCCCTTTTTGGTCCACAAGGTTCCACGTACTAATGGCAGTGGCTTCTGGATTCCAGTAATTCAAGTGTTTGGGAGCTTCAATCTTTTGTTATCAATTGTGGTAGAGTGCAGATTTTCCTTTATTGCTTTTATGTTTTCAGTGCTTTCTTTCAGCGAAAGCCGTGTAATGGGGGCATTTTAGCACTGCAACGCCATATTAAGCTGTTTTTCTCCTTTTGTTGCAGATGTCCATCAATTTCCTGAAATTTGAAAAGAATCACTGGTGGCAATCTTGCTATGTTTGGGCAGGTTGTCCACTTCTTTTGATACAATTTAAGAGCATTCATGCCACTTCTTCAATTTGTCTTTTGCATCTGCTTTTTTGAGTGAGTTCATGTTTCTTAATACAAATAAGATTTTCTGAAGTATATTTTACTTTCAGTTTGGATTGAAGGTCCTCTTGGATTTGGTTTGCTGCTGAGTTGCCGAATAACTCAGGCTTTCCAACTGCATCATATATTTGTCAGGTAAGTTCAAAGTGCAAATGAATAATTGATATTGGAGTGGTGGGATTCGTGCCCCTGCATTGGTCATCTAGCTGCTAGCATCATTGATCTAACCATTTGGCATCTAGTTCACTCTCCTAATGTGCTGACTTTCATTGTCATATAGAATTATTGGTTGGTATTGTTCTTCAGTGGGACAGCAGACTTGTTTCATTGTTTAGATTGTATTTCTTGATCCCTGTGGCATTTTGTCATTTGCCAAATTCTACTTTAATTATTTGGTATTGATAATGCAGGAGGCAATTACCACCAATTAGATCTTATTTTTTTCTTCCTCTGATTCTCTTGCCATGGGTTGCCGGTGCTGCGTGTAAGTGTCTCGTGAACATGGATCTTATTACATATTTAAAAAGTCTAATGCGCCAAAGTTCAACTTACTGCAAAGATATTAAGCTGCAACTTTTTTTTCCCCTCTTGGAGCAGTACATTTCAAAGTCATTAATTTTTGTACTCCACCCTGGCTCTGCTGCAATATCTTGTTTCTTACCAGAAGGGTGTCTTGTTATCTGTAGTTGTCCATATGAAGAGGCCTTTGAATAACCGGTGCCATATGGGGACTCATTGGACCATTCCCGTTGTGTGCCTTCACACATTCTATGTTGCTGCTTTGGTTGGATTCACAGGTGCAATTCGGCATATAGAGTTCAGGTTTAATGAACTCAAAGACTTATGGCAGGGGATACTTGTTTCAGCTTTATCTATCGGTAAGACTTTTGTCTTGGACTCTGATTTATGTATAGTGCACTATAATTGGGATTTGTTTATCTCTATAAACTTCATTTTTCCCTGCATAAGGAAACGAGCCCATAATCTGAGCAAACCAATCACCAAGTGGAAACAAAAAATCATTTGATGAACTAAATTTTGACATTATTTAGCTTAATCATAATCTTTATGTTTTATCATTTCTTCAAGGAACCAAATCCATCTGTGGTGTTTCATGGGTAGATATACCATAAAGCTCATTTAGCTATGTCTTACTTTCCCTGGGAAGGCTTCTGTACACCCATAACAATTTCAAGGTCGCTCTTGTCAGCTTCATAGGCATAACTGGATCTTTTCCATAGGCCATAAACTTTGTGGAGCAATTTGTTGAGACCAACATGGTGTCAGAGGTCTATTTATTTCAAAAGCTCCTTAGTTCAAATCTCGTTCTTTCTTTTGTCTAGCAGAATTCTATAGTTTCACTTAGATTCCTTTTTGTGGTCATGTGATAGAATGAATCTGGTTCGAGATTAACGTGTAGGACCTGCATGTGTCTGGGTTATCAGCTTGTCTTAGCCATGGGACTGAAAAGCAGCCACAAATTCGTTGGCTTTTTTATGCGGCTGCTACCGGTGAAGGCCATTATAGGTCTGCAACACATGCATAAAATCTGGAATGGAGTACAAGGGGCGGCTTTTATATAATGTAAAAAATAAATAAATAAATAGTTGGATGGAAGGACTGCACTAAAATTCGACCAGAATAGGAGATTGAGTAGTTGGTATATGTTTTTCATATTTGAGAATGACCGAGTGATTGCTTGAATAATTAATCCAAAGGGTAGTAAGAAGTTGAGATGTTGGTCACATCACGACTTACTTGTAAGCTGGTTGTCATAGCAGTATATGGACGATCAATTTGATCTCCCTCAATGATCATAACTTTTAATTTATATTCTTTTCTGCTTCCAGGGATATGGTTTGCTGCTTATGTTTCTAATGAAATTCATGAAGACATCTTGTGGCTTCAAGTTGCCTCCAGATTTTTGCTTTTGATAACCGTATGTTTCTCTTGGCTGGATCTTACATACTGGTGGCATCATTGGTTGATTGATTCAAATAATTAGTCTTCTGCTTATGTATACTGCTAACATTCCTCAGGTGTACTCCACAGGCAAGCATACTGGTACTGGCTTTCTTCTCTATATCAAGTTCACAGCCTCTGCTCTCACAAATCAGCTTGAGGAAAAGAGACTCTCTAGAATTTCAAACAATGGGTCAAGCTCTGGGCATACCTGATAGTGGACTGTTATTGCAAAGGGATCCTGTTTCAGTCATAGATCCTAATGAACCACTTGACAAGCTTCTTCGCAATAAAAGATTTCGTCAGTCTTTTATGGCATTTGCTGACAGGTATTACTTTCCTTGCTAGTTCAGTTCAGTAAAGCGTTGAGGTAATAGTTTAGATGTAGAGATTTATAACAAGAAAATTAGATCATTTCACGTGTGAACTTAAAGGCCCAATTCCTAGATGCTTCATAATATTTCTTGAGCTAATTAATCTGATTCCCAAATGCTTTTACTTACCCATAAATGTTTTCCTGCAACTATTGAAACAGTTTGAAATTTATTTTGGGACAAAAAAAAGAAGAAAGAAATAATCTATTTAGAGGAAAGTGTAATATGTATATTTTCACTTTTGATCTTAACTGCAGCTGTTTGGCTGGGGAGAGTCTGCATTTCTATAATGAAGTGCATGAGCATGATAAAATTCCTGTAGATGACCCTGTAAGAAGGATCTATATGGCACGGCATATCATTGAGAAGTATGTTGTTCCAGGTATGTAATGCATGTATGGAAATTTCTGCTTGGGTTCATCTATCACATTCATTTGCATGCATTCAGGTCCTAAATTCTTTCCTCTTAATCTTGACCAACAAAAACAACTTTGTGACAGCCTCTTCTGGGACATCTTTAGTTTAGATGTGCAGATGATTTCAATAAATGAAAACTGAGGTTTTACATGCTGCTTGTTGGCTTAAGGCATGTTTATACGTCCTTGCATACAACTAAAACTGGGAATCCAACGTAGGTTTGTGATCTTTTACTAATAACCATCCACATATCGGTGCACATATCTCTTGTGTACAATTCAGAAACTATAAAAACCCGATTACAGATGAGAGTCCACATTCTAGTGTATCTTCATCTGGTATCTAATACATGTGGTCTTTCGTTTTAAAAGTTGGTGTGCACAATGATGTAACCTAGGGTTTTGGAGAAACAAAACAAAAAAGAAAAAGGTCAACAAAGAGTAGTGGCAAGGGAACAGCTTGACTAGAGAAACACAAAATCAACTGGGATTTTGAGAGTTGTTGTTCCTTTGGAATCCACCGTAAAGTGGTGAAAAATCCATTTCAAGAAATAACCCTGTGATTTCAATTACAAATAAAACACGATCCCTAGCTCATCAGTGATCAGTCTCATCCATTCATCAGAAGAGGCGATAGCCACTAGCCTTTATTAATATTCTCAGGAATATTGTGCATTTAACCTTATTTTGGTGCAACAAATATCAAGATAAGGCTTCCCTAGTGTTTAATCAGTCTACTGTGGTAAGGAAAATATGGATAGCTATGCCAAAAGTTGTACTTGAATTGCCTAGAAAATTTTTGCTCCACTGGAAAATTGGTTTCTGCTAAGCTTTTTGGCTTAATGGTGCACATAAGTATGCACAGCACACCATTATCTGATAGATTCCCTGTTCTGGTATTATACAGGTGCAGCAATGGAGGTGAACATATCTTATCGAACCCGACAAGAAATACTGACCACCACCAATTTGGCACACCCTGATTTGTTTAATAATGCACTAAATGAACTGATGCAGCTGATGAAGACGGTAGGTGGTTTACTTTACTTTTGTGGAGTTGTTTCTAGATATGTTATACATTAGTATATCTGAAGTATGCTGTCTTGTCCTTTCTAAATTCTTGAAGAATTTGGCAAAAGATTACTGGTCATCCATGTTTTTCATCAAATTCAAAGAAGCCAATATGAGATCCAACGGCCATGAGCTGGAATCGATGACGGGTTGGAACTTCTCTCCTCGATTGAGTTCTGTGCATGGTGCGGATGATCCATTCCACCAAGAGCATGTTTTAAAGGGCTCTGGCTTTGATAATCATGACTTGCACACACAATAATTGAAGAACATGAAGTGCTTATGCTGGTGTACTGCACATATGTTCTAGGATATATTATCCTGAGCAATAGATAATCAGAAATCTTCAAATGGATTGGAATCTCCAAATACCTACAAAAGACAATTAAAGACAACTAGGATGACTGAAGCAGTATTAAGGTGGGAAATTGCGCTTGATTTGTACAGATACGACCACAGTCCAAGGATCATATGTGCTAACTATGGCGTTCAAAGCTGTATTAGGTCAAAATGCATCTTCTTAGTCCATCTCAAGCCCAAACTTGGATCAGATTAGAATGGTGTCAGTACGGAAGCATTGCGAAATTTGTCAAAATCGAAGGAATGTTGGTCACTGATTCTTGGATCTTCCATGGCTGAGCTCAGAGGGATGAATTTTGGTTCCCAATACTGGTTTCCTTCTTCATTTCTCGCCTGTGCTATTGACAAAAAGTATTTCTTGTTGTTACAGTAAAGAAAAGATTTTGGGATGCCTTGACAAAGATGTGAAGGATTACACAAAATAGAATAGAATAGAATGACTTGATCGTTCATTTCTTAATTGCAAGATATTTAACTAGGAATATTACCCCATTGAATCATCATGCATGGTCTTTTTCCTACTAGTTTACTAAAATCAAGCGTTCAAACACTCATTCTAGACAATCCCCTTAATAAAATTGGAGGTAAGAACTTTATTTTGATGCGGTCGAGCCTATTATCTTTCACATGTTAGTGATGATATGTAACTTTGACGAGGACGCACTGGACCAAGACGTTACGTATCTTGTTAAGCATCTCCAGCTACCCACCTGAATGATGATCATGATCAGCTGTTGAGAGATTTTAGATGCAAAGTTTATTTAGCTTAGGGTTTCTCATGATGTAACCACGCTGGTCCAAATATTCTGTAGTTTGACCATACGTGGTCAATGTTGGACAACATATGTGTAGGTAGACGTTATCAGGTGTGTTTTTTTATTCGAAAATAAAAGATATTTTTAAATTAATTTGTGTATCAATCAAAATTAAATTTTTTTCTCGTAAAAATTTTAAAAACACACTTTTCACATTGATATGATAGTATTTCACAAGTGCATTGCACGTAGTCCACAGAGTCATTTTATTTTTGAAGTATTTTTTTTTAGGATATATATCATGTATATGATTCATGTTTTCAAAAGTCTACCTACATAAAATATAGAAAGTAGTATAAGAAATATTAGAAGTTGTGAAAAATTAAAATAATTAAATTATCTTTTATACATGATAAAATTCTAATAGTATTTTCCTACCAATTTTAATTTAATATTTTACTGTATCTTACTTTTTGCATTGCTAAAAACCAATGTAGCCAATCCTTTTCCTTCTTGATTTTCTGTTCATTGGTTTTAGTTTTCTGATTGGTAAATCGTAATCATCTTTTTTTTTTTTTTTTTATTACTACCATCACCACCTCTTGCTAGTGTTGTCACTCACTATCTCTTTACAACAACTAACATAGCTTCTTCTTTTTTTTTTTACACAAAATAACTTTCTAAAATAATTATTTTTAGAAAAATCTTGTACTAAAAATCACAATATCTTATCTCATTTTTTTTCCTTTTAAATCGTAGATTAGTGAGAAGGAAAATTTTATTCTTCATTTTATTGTAAATAGAATTAGAATAAGGCTCTTACCTTTTAGAATAGATAACTAATGTGTATCTTTTAGCGTTGGGAAAGCAATCTAAAAAAAAGAAGAAGAAGAAGAAGAAGAAGTTTTATCTCATCTAATGATTTTTTTTTTTTTTTAAAGCATGTGAATGACCAAAATTATTTAGTAAAACTCCTGCTTCTTGTGAATTGCTCTTGTTTGTTCGTCTTTCCGGGCCTTGGGCATTAAATTGAACTAGGCCTAAATATATAGATGGACTTGTTTAATTTACTTCATTATGAGTTTATTTTTATGTGAAAGAATTAAAAAAAAATCTTAAAAAATAGGGGATAGTTTAGTTTTACATTTTTATATAATATGAGTAAATTATTTCTTCTAATTTTTTTTTGACTTTTTTAATTAAGAATTTATATGTTATTTTGGTTAAGTTAAATCATGTAAATAATATAGAAAGCATCCAATTCAATCCCATATTTAATCCCACCTCTGAAGAAAAGTTTTACTAATTTATGTAATATTTGAAATTATTATGCATTATAAGAATAATTCTATTATTATATTAACATTGTTTTAGTTGTTAGGAAAATTCTTGAATAATATAAGGCACGTTACTTTCATAATTATTTTACAATTTATGGTAATGGTTGATTTTGTCTCGATGATAAAAAATAATAAACTTTTGAAATATAATTGTTCATTTTTTATAGGTTTCTCCAATAAAAATACTATTTTCTTTATTACAAATCAAATGGATAATTTACACAAACACGCAAATATACATTTGTAAAATAGATTTTGAAATTAACTAATATACTGATGTTTAGTAGAACCACTGTTAATGTGAACAAGCACATAAATTATTTATCAAATAAAATAAGCCATCATGAACTAAATGAAAATAAATCCATCTTAATTTAATGTTTGAATTTCATAAAAACCAAATCCTTTTATTGATGAATTGTAAACTAATGAAACCTAATATGTTGTCAATCAGTATCTTCTTTTTCTTAAAAATGCTTGTATCCCTATTTCCATGATTGATCATTATAACTTCTTCTATGTAGTTAACTTGTTCAACTTTCCTTTATAATCATTCGCTTATTTGCTTTCTTCATTTTATTATTATTTTTTAAATGATATTCGATCATTTGCCTTAAATAAATGTTATATGAAATTTTCTTTCTTTTATTTTTCTAATTACGAGTATATATGTTACTTGATTAATTTAAATTAATAATATTCATATAAACACCACGTAAAGAATATATTATGACACCCATACCTGATTGAATATTTAGTCCTGTACCTAATCATAATAGAGAAGGGTTCGACTACCACTTTTTTTTTCTGAAATTTTCTCCTCTTTTTTGTTTTTTGTTTTTTTATGTCATTTACATATGGCAGGCATGCGTCTCACATGTAGTTGTCACTTCATTGCCCAGAGTAAAGCAGGTCTTAATAATGAGCCACGTGTGCATATAATGAGAAAAATTGACAAAATCAAATCAAAACATTGGATTAAAAAAATTATAACTTGAATTACGCAAACAACAAATATTAAAGAGGATACACTTGATTAAAAAATAAATTAACAACTTTTGTAAACTGAAAATATAATTAACTCGTTTATTTAATAAAAGGCATTTGTCACATATTATGTCCATACAATGTTTCACAATGCTATTCAATTAGACTATTATACACATATATTTTATTCTTGTATATACTATAACTTTCTTGTAACAGAAATTAAAATTGTTCATCGATTTTTTTTATAATCCACTATTTCAAATATCAACTTTTAAAAAAATCATAATAGAAAAACTTGATAACATGAATATATATTTAGTTAAATAATTAGAACCATATATGCAATTTCAATTTGCTTTCTTCAAATTATGTTGGGTGGGATTCTTTCTACAATTAGGATAAGGATTCTAATCTTAACTTTTCACTACAAGAAAGCAGTATAATAGTGACGTTATATTAACAAAATTTGTCACTATATCTAATTAGCTACGGATTTGCGATAGAAAAAAAATTCATAGCTAAAACGTATGTTGCTAACCTCCATAATGGATTGAACGAGTGTCCATCACTAAAATAGCAATGAATTATCGATCACTAAATCATTTAAGTCCGTTGCTAATTTGACATCAAAACATGTCTTTAATCCGTCGCTAAATAATGATGGATAAACCATTGCAATGATCCGATACTAATTTTGGTTGTAAATCCATCGCTATTTCGTTATTAACTAGGGATGGTTTTTTTTTTTTTTTTTGTTGCTGTGTTTTTGGAAGAATTAATTTTTTCTTCATTCGATTGCTAATCCAACGTTAATCCATCGTAAATATTTTTTTAATTTTTTAAATTTTAAAATTTTTTATATTTTCGATAGTAACTAACAATTAAAACAAATAAATTGTTATAAAAATTATTTTTTGTATTAAAAATAAAATATTATAAATTAAATTAAAATTCATATTCAAAAAATTATTCGTCGGTACCTAAGAAAAAAAAGTCAAAATATAAAAAAATATATATATAAAAATCACTCTATATCATGATCATCTAATCTCCTCTTATCTTTCCGGGGCTCGCTAGAAGGGATGACGAAGTACTGGAGCTCGCCGGGAGGGATGATGGAGTCCCGAGGGTTGGTGGGAAGGATGGTGGGGTCATCATTGGTAGAGGGGTTAATAGGCAAGGTCCGCACCATCCTCTATAACGTCACTATAATCGATGAAATTTGAGTCTCCATCCCCTGGATCTTCATTTGCTACTACGTGATAATATTATTATGCTCGTCTAACCTCACTTGCATTCCCCTCATCATCTCTTCATACCGACTAGGAGTCCGATAAGAAGTATTGGGGCTGAAATGTTGTGATGCTATAGAGGAATAGTCGACGCCATGCTGAATGGGATAAACACCGTGATGCATGTAACCTAATATGGTAAACCCTTTTCCTCTTTTCCCCTCCGATAGCTTTAAAGTATATGCATTTGTGTCGACCAATGAATCCTTAATTCCGACCTCTTATTGCATCCTAACGACTTCTCGTATCGGCTCCTCCATAAGCTCCTACGTAATCAAAATAATTATAATGTTAAAAAATAAAATAACTTTTTAGATTATATTTTCATATGTATGTTTTTAAAAATTAAAAACACTTACCATTTTTGTCTAGTTTCGTAAATCAACGAAATTCATATATCGTCGCTTGTGAGTGGCCCTAAACAACTCTAAATTTATAGGCTCACTCGGTTTCAAAGTCGAAAAAAAGTGGACATAAATAATATATGAGCTATAAATATTAATTTTTTAAATATTGAATAATATA